ATCAATGAATTTTTAGTACAATCTCCAAATTGTGATCTATAATCATTAACGACTTGTAGTAGAAACTGTTTTTGTTCATCATCATTAGTTACTATTTCATTGTATTCTTGCATACGTTTTACACCTCTCTCTGCTATATCGTTTGTCACAAGAAGATTAGATAAAACTTTCAAACCATTTTGAAAATCAGGATTTTCAACCTAGCTATGAGGATGAGTTTCCAAAAAATCTATCAAGTTCTTTGTTTTTAAATAGTTTAGTATCATTTAGGTTTATTGTAATTTTTTTTATCTTGTTTTTGTGATATCTCTCTTGATGCCTAAACCATTTTTAGTTTAATATCTGCCGGTAAACTGTCCGGTAAATTTCTGTGTTGCAGCTTTAGATATAAAAGAATCAGGATAATTAATTAAAACTTTTAAGAAACATAAATCATTAAATGCTGATTGTATGGCAATAGATCCCTTAAACCAAGCCTTGACATAAACTTTTACCAAAAATACACAAATATTATGAAATGCATGTTCTTCTCGTATTTTAAGCTATTTTCTAAACATGTATATTTTTAACGAATAAATTGCTTTAGACATCCATCTAGCATGATGAAAAACACTAGGGTAGTGAAATTTTACACCATTAAGGGCTGTTGCACCCATAAAAATAACACATAAATTCTTTGTAGTATTTTCTACATTGTTGAATTATTAATGTTTCCAATTAAAATTTTTTTACATTATTTTTAGTGTGTACAACTGCATTTTTGATAATTATATCATTGATACCAATATCAAAATTCAACAAATCTAGACTAATCAAACATTCTTTAAATTTTTAAAAATTGATACAACTGGACCAGTTGTACATAAATTAAGTTTAACCTTGAAAACATTTTTTAGTACTAATTCCAAAATATGTCTACGACATGGTAAATACAACACATTGCGCTCTAAGAGTTGTTTAAGCAATATACAAGCGTCATTTAAGCGACCTGTATTAGAAGCTGTTGTGTCACAACACAAGGCCTGTATTTTATTTTTTACATCCCAAACTTGTAATAAATCAAAAATTGCATTTACCTGATTCTCGCCAGAATCACTCTCAATTTTTGGGAACCCAAGTAATTGACTTACTCCCTCAAATGATACCAAGATTGGCAATCGATCAACTTTAGCTCTATTTATAATGCCTGGAAGTAGTTTTCCATCCCAATGCAAGACAAGACTATTTTTATCCAGAAATTTAATTTTTTTTTATTTCATTTACCTTTCTCTCACTAAAAAATAATCTTTCCCGTCGAATAGTTGATCGGTTGATTATTAACTTTGATACGTTATTACCTAATGCTTCAGCAGTAGAAATAATTAAATGCACAGCATCGCGGTCAGATATCTTGCATTGATCTAATGCAGAAAGTAATTTAGGATTCATAAAAGTTATAAATCCTCGTGTTTTTGAAGAATATGATGAACCAGACAAATCATCTTCTGTTTCATATTCTGAGGAACTAAACAAATTTAACTCAACAACATTATCTAAACAAAAAATGATAAATGATAGAAAAATGATTGTTATTTATAAGTTTTCTTTATTACCTCGCCAGAAAACACGTAAAACAATTTTATTTTTCTACAAAACTAATAGAAAATTAAATTTCAAATAACTTTTACATGAAAATTTTTTTTATAACTTGAACGGTTCATCGTATTAATTTATTAATTAAAGTTCCATAAATATTATGTTTACCAGTAAAATTCATATATTTCGGCAATTTAAGTATATACGATGAACCGTTCAAGTTATAAAAAAAATTTTCATGTAAAAGTTATTTGAAATTTAATTTTCTATTAGTTTTGTAGAAAAATAAAATTGTTTTACGTGTTTTCTGGCGAGGTAATTCATCGTATGGAACTTTTGACTTTTAGGAGGTAAATATTTGACTTATGGGTTTTTCGCTAATAATCTTTTTTGTGTAAAATAATTATATGTATAATTTCTTTCTTATAAACTTTTACATAAAAATCATATATTTTGAGATAAAGCACAATAACTGAAAAACTACCCTTTTGATCGAATTTTCAACCCTCTTGCGGCACGTGTTAACGTCAACCTATCGGGACCAAATTTTGCACAGTTTATTTTTACATGTATTAGAACAATTTTTTGGTGCGCGTAAATCGAATTTTGAAAATTTGTATTTTAAGGACCACCCTAATATA